GTACGTTCGAGACCCTACGAACTCGGGAGAAGAACAGCGAATCCAGAGGAATTTTTTGGAGAATATCAGGAGCTTCAATTCTGCTTTGGCAATGGCGTCAATGGGAGCTCAAATAGACACGATGAGAGGACGTGGCCCATACTGTTACAGAATACATGGTCAGATTTATCATCGGATAGGCCCACTTCATCCAAGAGAAGGAGAGCTACGTCAGTATGGACAGATCTATATCTTGGATACGGAAATGGCTGCTGACCGACGTCTCGGAGACCCAAGAAATGTTGATTGTGATCCAGAATTGATGCGTTCTCTCAGCGAGTTGTTGTCGGAAGTTAATGTTTATGCTCAGTCCTTCAAGATGATGAGCGAAGTCGAACAAGCGGAAATTGCAGCCGCAGCACGCGAAAACCGTACTCCTTATAATATCCAAATGATCTTTGAGAGGAGCAATGAGAGAGGATTAAGGCGTCGTCAATACGACCTGCCGACGGCGAATGAAGTTGCAGTTGTGTACGTTGGCGAAAACAACGACGTGCCACCAACGAGGAGCTTAGCCGTGCACCTCCGAAATGCCTCAGGAGAACAACTCCAGAATATAAGCGATATTGACAAGATATGCGACCCTCTCACTTATCCACTCCTCTTCCCTACTGGAAATGGCGGATGGGAGCCAACCATGACCAATGACAATGGATATCGGATTTCACAGAGAGAGTACTATTCGTATCTGCTGTCGGTAAGAGATAACTTCAACCCTATTCTGTACGCTGGAAAACTCTTCCAGCAATTTGCCGTTGACGCTTATGTCAAAATAGAGCAGAATCGGCTTAATTTCGCGAGAAGAAATCAACTGAGACTGCGCTCCGACTCTTATAGAGGTCTGCAGGACTATCTTGCCGGTGAGGATGTCACCGGTCCACCGGGAGCCCGTGTCGTTTTGCCGTCATCCTATTTCGGTGGACCGCGCTCCATGCAACAGTCATATCAGGACGCAATGGCTATAGTTGCACGTTATGGGAAACCTACATATTTTCTGACAATGACGTGCAATCCGCAATGGAAGGAAATCCAAGAAAACCTCTTCAGTGGCCAATCAGCGTCGGATCGTCCTGATGTGGTAGCGCGGGTTTTCAACGCCAAGGTACAAGAACTTTGTGTCGATCTCTTCAAAAAACATATTCTTGGAGAAGTACAAGCCTACGTGTACGTTATCGAATTCCAAAAACGAGGCCTTCCACATTGTCACATGCTTCTCATAATGAAAGAAGATTGGAAAGTGCGGACGGCGGACGATGTGGACAGATCTATTTGTGCGGAAATCCCAAACTCTGCAGAAGAACCCGCACTTCATGCTGCAGTGACGTCCTTCATGATACACAGGCGATGTGGACAGGTGGACTCTCCATGCACGCTTCCTAATGGAATCCTGTTCAAAAAGGTTTCCTAAGCAAATAAGGAGAAAGAACCTCAGTGGACGTGGACGGATACCCAAACTATCGACGGCGCAACCTGAATCCTTTCGAAAGTAATGGTGTATTATACGGCGACCAGTGGGTTGGTTCCATCAAACCCGTACCTTCTCACAAAATTTGATTGCCACGTGAATTTGGAGGTTTGTGGCATGATATCAGCAGTGAAGTACCTCTACAAGTATGTCTACAAGGGTCCGGACCGTGCTCGAATCAACATCGAAGGCAACCAAGACGGTAACGAAACAACTAATGTTGACGAAATTAAGCAACATTTGAATACTCGCTATGTGTGTGCCCCTGAGAGCATGTACAGGATCTACAGTTTTGAGATGCAGGATAAGTCGCACACGATCGTCAGGCTCGCTGTTCACTTACCTGATTACCAAACGGTTCTATTTGTGCAAGGAAGAGAGCAACAATACCTTGATCATGCACGCCAATCATATACAACTCTTACGGCATACTTCGAGCTCAACAGGCACTATGCCCAAATTGGTGAAAACGAACACCGCGACATTGCGACGGATCCTAGGGAGCTTTATTACTATCAACTTCCTGAAGTATTTCACATTCAAGCCACGTAGTGGTTGGAAAGCGAGAACACGGTCTGGAAAGTTTATTGGGAGAATGTACACCGTTTCGCCTCGAGACACCGAACGATATTGCCTCCGAATTTTGCTACTGAACACGAAAGGGAGAATATCCTTTGAGGACCTACGAACTGTGGACGGCGTTGCATATGATAC